AAGCGAAACCCTGGTCCTAAACTTGTAGTCTATAAGGCACCAGTTCTAGCTCAACAGAGAGAACTGGGAATCACTGAGATATCTCTTGAAGACATTTGTCCAGTGAGTGTATAGAATCATAAAAAGCTAATAGCATCTTCATTAATTTTTTATCACTAGCATCATGTTGGCAGCCAGATATTTTCAATTTGGGAAACATTTTAGATTCTGGATTTGGTGGATTATAACCTGCATTAAATGTTCCCTTCTCTTTAATACACATAAGCCTGCATACATTTTAGATGTTCTAAGATCTAAGCTGTCCAGAATTTGTAAGGAAAGCCCTGCCAGTGCAGAGAAGTAAGGGACTGACTTCCCGAGGTAACAACTCTCAGGCAATAAAATACCCCCAAAGTAGATGTGGTAGCACACACTTGTAATCAATCCCAGCAGGCTGAGGCAGGAGGATCATGCATTTGGTGCCACCCTAAACTATATAGTGAACCCTTATCTCAAAAAATTTCCCCATCAAGGCTCTGCATATACCAAGCCTGACTACCTAGGGAGTATATATTTTATGCTTAAGTTAAATTAGGGCCATAATAAAGATGGTTGTGGTGGTGAACTGGACATGTCCTAGACCCCGTTATACAGTATTGTTGTAAAGCTTCCTTGGCAGGGGGGATGGTGATAAGGTACATGGGCATCATGATTTGCCAAGAGCTACATGTTTCATCTGTCCCTTATTGACCAAACCCGCCTCCTGTGTATTTGACTGGGTTAAATCAAGGCCCACCTTCCTCAGTCTCAGTGACTACTACTACTGATGATAGTGAGACATAGCTAGCTTGTGACTTCCCTCTGGTTTTATATTCAGCATTGAGACATATCTCATGGCCTTCCTTTGAGTTTACTTCCCTAAACGCTATAGAGTTCTTCCATTTCATATTGCTGTCTCTTGAACTGTGGTTTGGTTTTCCTATGTGTTTCTTTTTGCTTTCAACTCTGCCAAGTCTCCACTGACAGCAGGCTACTCAGAAGACTTAAAAGATATATCCTATGGGAAATGAAAACAGCTATCCTCTTAAGATGTTGCTACCTTTTAGCACCCCACTGAAAATCAGAACAACTCAAAAGTCAGGTGTTTCATCAAGTTACAAGTTTTGACCACGTCTTCCCAGTTGCCTCGGGGAACAAATTAGCTGGTGGAAAATTCATGTCAGAAAATACCTATTCCTTATCTCACTGTCATGCATCCACCAGTATTCTTATTCTGCTGAGTGAGGAATAGAGAGATCATGAATTTAGAAAAAAAAAAAAAAAGCCCTGCCGGGCGTTGGTGGCACACACCTTTAATCCCAGCACTTGGGAGGCAGAGGCAGGCAGATCTCTGTGATTTCCAGGCCTGCCTGGTCTACAAGAGCGAGTTCCAGGATAGGCTCCAAAGCTGCACAGAGAAACCCTGTCTCAAAAAAAAAAAAAGAAAAAAAGAAAAAAAAGCCCCATCTTTGAGAAACTTAGATGCTATGAAAGTACATGCCAGGCTGACTAGTTTGGTAGTCTTTTTATTTGCTTTTGCTATCCTGGTTTGGCTCCTGGAAATGAAACAGAAAAAGATGCTAAGAGAAGACTGAAGCCCTCCTCTTACCCGTAAGTCAATGCCTACAGTCACACTTGTATTTACTGTGGGGACTCTTTTCTACAGAATCCTTTGAAAATCTGGGTTTCGAGCAAACTGACCTATAGCAGGTGCCACACCTTGTATAATATATAAAAACTAGAATCATAGCCATAAACATTAAGAAGATAGCTCTTGCAGCCTTCCTCATAGAAGATTTTATACCACTGAGCTGAAAGAAAAGGGCTTTGATGATTGTAATTGACAAAATAATCTTTTCCATTTACTTCCATTTCATACTCTGCAGAATGTTTGTGGATGGATAATGTAGTCATCTGTGCACCCTTGTTTTAGTACTCACTTGCATTAAGACTGGCTGTTGGCCTTCAGCCATTCAAAAGCATCCTAACCCAATTTGACATCAACCTAATTTGTATTTCCATTATTTACCACACAAGAGACAAACCTTTGTTTGTGAGTTGCTTCGTTTTATTAAATGATATCTCAGAATCAAATTGTTACATTGAGTATACAAGCTACTTATTTCCCTAGCCTCTGTTCTTTTCCATTCCCTCCTGACTCCTTTCCTACCATAGTTCTTGTTAATACTGAAAAAATATAGGTTAGTAGAATCTTGTTACACATTTAATAAGGAGTATTGATATTCTGGTAATAATGTTCCTATCATAAAACATGAGTAAGATCAATTAAAGTCCACATAAATTTTTGTGAAGCTATGGTTAAATAATTAATGTGTAAAGATTTATGATTTGCTTACTTTGTAATAAATCAAAGATGTCAACTGGTACAAAGTGGCTCTTTGCATGTATTTCTCTGGTTTGTTTGCTTCTATATGAAAGTGCATGTTGTTCTCCTTTGTGGAGCAGTGTAAATTTCTAAATTTCAGAAAAGGTTGCTACCATTAGAGGAGACTCAAAGTCATTACATTGCCATTTCAGAAATCACTACCCATTCATTGTTGAAATCAGATTGCCACATATTTACAGTAGGTAAAAGGGTGGCATAGGAACTTTCAGGCCACTTATTTTTAAAAAGTATTCTGTCAGGGACATGTCTCAGAAGATTTCCTGTAGTGATTAGCATGCAAATTACTGACAGTGGTGTCACATGCCATTCCCACATTTTGGTTACAGTACTGTATCAAGATGTCAGAAGGAGAAATGGATACAGCTATTACTTTTGATGTCTGTACTTCAGTAGCTAGGAATCCACTCCCTACCCAATCCTATGGCTAAGCTTTTTAGGTGCATGCCACCTTGTAGTCCTTTACTCTAAAAGTATTTGTAAGGATTTCTTTCTTGAAGCTTTTCTGGTCCACCAGAAAATACAGAAAGTAGGTGCAGAGTACTTTAACGGTAAGGGTTTCCAAGAATTAACAGTCTCACTTTTCTTAGAAGTACTCTATCATTTACCAAATGGGCCTCCTCAATTTTCTTTAATATGGTACCCCATAGCCTCTGCTGTTCTTTTTGCTTCTAGTCCAGTTGTGTGACTTAGTATTGAATATTTGTAGAAAAATAATGAGATGAGCCTTAGGGGTTTTGTTTTGTTTTGTATTGTTTTGTTTTGTAGCTAAGGATTGTATAGTGTACAGAGCAGTGCACTGAGTAACTTAGAAAAAACTTTTCCTGAGTTTTTCTTATTCTCATTTTATATTTAGCTAAAACAACTGGTGGTTCTTGTCCCTGAGGTAGTTTGAAGCATTTAGGTAAAAATTGCCCCTAAGTATATTTCTAGGGGCATTTACGTACAACTGAAAAGATCTCTAGGTAAGATATATCATGTAGTTACTGAAGCCTTTGTAGTTCTAAGATCTTAAACTGTCTTGCCAAACTGGAATCAAAAGGATGCTTTCTTTGTTGATGCTGGGAAGCTCCAGGATCTGTTTTAGTTTTAAGATCTTGCTGCTGTGGGTTATTTCCCTAGAATGGACACAATTTACTTTCCTGAGAAATGTAATAACTTTATCAGTGTTAGTGACATGTGTGTGAGTTGAGAGTTGGTCTCTGATTATACTGAGACAGCCTACGTTTTTATTAGAAATCTAGAAAGCCACAGCTTTTTCTGATGCAGTAATCTGTACAATATTTGAATTTGCCAGTGTCAAACTTTGTTATAATCACCTTCCAGCAACAGCTCTGATGATAACCGAAACTAAATCTTATGAGGTAGAGTGCATTCAGAGGAATGAGAAATCCCCTTATTGTTCTTCATGCATTGAGTCTGAATAAGCCTTGGCACATCTTTTCCATGACACTGCCCTGGTAAAGTTCATTTATCACAAGCAAATTATTCTTTCCTTCTATTTTAAGTCCCTGCAGTACAGAGGAGGTACTATATTAGCATCTGATTTTTCTGCTACTTCTTAATAATTAGTGATGATACTAAATACTCACTTTTTTAAAGAGTCCATCATTTACTGTTAATGAAAACTTAACTGGAACTAGAAATCATTTTTCCTAATAAAGGAATTAAAAAGGAAGACATTGGGATAGTGACTAACTATAGCATTATTAATAAAGCCATTTGAAGGCCAGAAATGATGACAAATGCCTTTAATCTCAGCACTCAGGAGGCAGAGGCAGGTGGCTCTCTGTGAGTTCGAGGCCAGCCTGGTCTACAGAGAAAGTTCCAGGACAGCCAGAACTACTTAGCGAGACATTGACTTATAAAGAAAAGATAAAAAGAAATCTATTTTAAATATACATAATGCTTATAAATTGGATAAATTGCCCAAGACAGCAGCTTTAGTTGTTTGCTGTGTTACAACCCAGTAGGAGTTCTCAGCTTAAAACCTAAGAAATTAATAACAATTAGTGATGTCTTAATGATTTCAAGTTGCACTGAAATGTTCAGTTTTCCTTCTTACTTGAAGAATCACATTGAATGTCTTTCTAAATCCTTACTCCCATCATTTTTTGCGATAGTGTCTCAGTGGACCTGGAGCTTGCTTATTCAGCTACACTGGGCTGGCTAGCAAGCCACAGGATCCTTCTGTCTCTACCTCTCCCACACTGGGATTAAACACTGCAGCATTTCCTCATATTTGCACAACAATAACTTTACCAGTTGAGCCATTCCCTTAGCCTCTCCTTCCTGAATTTTTTTTGTTGTTGTTGTTGTTTTTGTTTTTTTTTGTTTTTCGAGACAGGGTTTCTCTGTGTAGCTTTGGAGCCTATCCGGATACTCGTTCTGGAGACCAGGCTGGCCTCGAACTCACAGAGATCCCCCTGCCTCTGTCTCCCGAGTGCTTTCCTAAACTTTTAAAGAGACTGTTTCTATTGTGAACTTGATCATTTCCAGTGATCATCATGAATTTCTCAGCTTCTTTTCACCCTGGAAGTACTTTCTTCAGCATGTCCTATACTGTAACTCTTTTGATGAGGACTTATTGCATTTATTTTTATGTGAAAATATCTTTATCTTCATTCTTGAAACTTTCTCCAAATGTAAAATTCGGAATAGTTAGACATTTTAATTTTTCCACAAACATTAATGAAACTGTTTCACTGCTGACTTTCCTCTCTATACAATGTAGCATTGTCCTCCATCTACTTTGTGTGAGTTTTTCCCTTACTTTAATTTCCTGTAGTCAGAGTATGATGTTCCTAGACACCCTTCTTTCACAATAAGCCCTGCCTTGGCTTTACTGAGCTCTTTGGATAAGTGGATTAATGCCCTTAGTCAAACTTATGAAATTATTGGGCGTTATTTCTTCAAGTATGTTTTTTCCCTTGCTCTATTTCTGGCATTAAGTTGCATGTAGCTTAATCTTTGATATCCAATCCTACAGTTAACTGAGATTCTATTCATATCCATCCCACTCTTTAAGTTGGGTTGTGTGTGTGTACTGTTCTGTCAGTAGCCTTTACATAGCCTTATACACAGCACCTCTTGTAAGATACCTTTCTCTGAATAACTTTCCTCACACCCAGATGTTGTGTTTCTGGAAACAGCTACACAGTAGATTTCAATCCATTTCTGATGAATCAGCTTTGTGAGTCATAAAAGTGTAGTGTTCAACAAGAGTTACTTAGCCTTGTGTGTGTGTGTGTGTGTGTGTGTGTGTGTGTTTGTAGGTTTCTTGTTCATATCACATCTTAGGTATACTAGCTGTTCTTGTGTGTGCTGTTTTCTTATTTTGTGGAGTAATTTTTATCACCTTCTAATCAATCCATCATTATTATACTTTCTATGGTAAAAAATTCTTCACATTAAGTATTTCTTGATTAAATTTTTGTTATGCAGATTGAATTCTGTCACCAAATGTTAAATCATTTCATTAAAATTTTTACTGTACAAAGATATGTGGAAGGAAATGACAATAACATCATAAAGTTCTACAATAAGAACTTTTGTTTAATGTTGAAAATAAAGGAACTTTTCATTTCATAGTTCATTATTTCCAAACAAAAAGAGAACTCTTGTCGTCTTTTGTTTTAAGCTAAATGAATCTGTGGGTTATTTTTTTTTAAGTATCCGACCTTCTGATGAGATTCCCTAACTTTTTTCTATATGAGCACAATCCCTTTATACCAGGAGGGTAGCTAAGTAGCTATTTTATTTATTTACTGAGTACCACATCTGGATCATTTCAGGGTTGGTCTCCATGTATTGTTCATTTTCTGGAGAGTGTAATCTCAACCTAGTTCCTAAGATGTCCAGTGATTTTGGTGATTATCCTAGATATGAATATTATAGTATAATAATTATGGACTCTGATATGTTCTTCTAAAATGTTCACTTTATATTCTTTTCCTCAAATGATTAATTTAATTGCTTGAGGTTTCTATGTGTTGGATAGCAGTTTCAATAAGAACTTAACTCCTTTACCCTTAGCTAGGCTGCTTGGGCTCTTCCTTATTTGAGAGATCAGGCAAAAGTTTGAAAGGAGTTTATATACAGACTGTAAAGAGTGCTTCTCTCTCTCTCTCTCTCTCTCTCTCTCTCCTTCCTCTTTGGGCCCTCCATGTTGTCCTCTCTCCCCACACACATTTCTTCAAAGATCCCCTCCTTACTCTCCAGTGGCTGTTTTTCCACTAACTACTCTCTTGCCATTGTTTAGGCCACAGAGACTTGGTTTTCTACTAGACATCTAGCTACCCTGTGACTAACTGTGATCTGCTCTTAAACTAAGAGGCTTTTTTAAACCAGGGAAACCTGTCCACAAGTTTTTTTGCTTCTTCCAAATGCCAATTCTTCTCCATAATATGCCTGCATTTGTTCACTGTCCAATGACATCAAGTAGTTATGTATCTTGTTTTGTCCAAACGTTATAGTTAGTGCCCATGAGAGAGTTAGTCTGGTGGAAGGTTACTCTTAATAGCTCATTTTTGTTGTATCTTCTAAAACTACAAAATCTTGGTTTAAAGTTCTGTTCAGGAAAGCTGTTGAGGAGAGGAAATAGCAAAGTTAAAGGAACCAACATTGGAAGGTATAATGACAAAACTCTAAAGGAAAATTCCAGAACTCCACACAAGAGCCAAGTGTACCTTTTAGTGACACTGTTTAGTCTCAATGTGCCATTGCCTGTTTAAGAGCACCGTGAAAGTTTTCATATGTCCCCATATATCTGTCCATTTCCCAAATGTTTTCCAAGTTTCCCCTGTAAAAAGCATACCTTTCAACCTTAGGAAATTCGCAACATTCATAATGATGAATTAATGGGAATCAGGAGAGAAGAAGAAATGGAAATGTCTGACGATGAAATAGAAGAAACAACAGAAACAAAAGAAACGGAGGAATCAGGTAATGATAATTCTGGTTTGTTTTATGTAATAAACATTTACTTGCAGTGGCAATATTTTCAAACCTTTAAAACAAGGTAAGATGATGTATACATCAGCCCATCAGAGTGGACACCAGATAGAGAAAATTGATGGGACTATAGAGTAAACACTGGCTAAATGTCAAACCTGTGTCTATAGGGTTTTCTGTGTTCTTCATATACCCCTTTTTCCATTGAAGTACCTAATTTAAAATGTGTGTGTGTGTTTTTTTCAAAAAATAAAACTCCCACTGGACATTTAGGCATCATTGTTCTATATTAGCAATTATTAATATTCTCTTTAACTGTGAGAGAACAGGTGCATGAATGCTAGATTACTTATACATTCTGCACAAATAGGTAACGGATAGATCCATGTTTTAAATGTTAGCAAAATATATATAGCAAGCCGGGTGTTGGTGCCACATGCCTTTAATCCCAGTACTCGGGAGGCAGAGGCAGGCGGATCTCTGTGAGTTCGAGGCCAGCCTGGTCTCCAGAGCAAGTGCCAGGATAGGCTCCATAGCTACACAGAGAAACCCTGTCTCAAAAACCAATAATATATATATATATATATATATATATATATATATATGGTAAATGTGATTTCATTTTCTTTAGTGTATCACAGAAGAAAAGTTCATTCTTATGAGCTTTAGTGTAGAAGATACTTTCCCAGTCTATACTTTAATGTGGGTCATTATTCTTAACAGTGCCGAGGAGGTAGAGACTGGAAGATCCCTGGAACCTGCTGACCAGCCAATCAAGAAACCCAGTTTGAAAGCACAAGGTGTGATGCAGATAGAAAGCCAGCATTAATGTCTGCTTCCTGTTGTCCATGCACATCACATACACATGTACACATGATAACATATATACAGTTTTAAATAAGATTATGGATGAATGCATAAAAATTGAATATCTCCATAAAGTAACAAAATTAAAATCTACAAAGTAATAACTATCTGAAATAAATAACTTTTTTGTATTTTTAATAAAACTATTCACAAAAGCCAGAGCTGGACTAGATTTGGTCTATAACTGTACTTTACTAAAAAGGTGTATATTTGTGGCAGAGTAGGAATTGCAGGTAGTAGTATTTGACACGTTGATATGGTTATAATCAGGTATGATTTAAGACAGCATTAAGAAATCCAGGCTCAACAGTTATTTTAAGTACAAACCCAGAAGACATTGACTAGATGTTATAACAGGAAAGGTCTTCCCCAGGCAATCGATGTTAAGAAGAAAGGTAGGCTTGAATGTTGTGTTGAAGATGCTAAAGAATCAAATCTAGAAAGCTTACACACCATACTTTTTCATGATGAAATAAATAACTTAATTACAGTTACTTAGCAAATATATTGGACACCAAATAGGAATCAACAAATAGGTGTCTGGGTGAAGGCTTTTATTCTAGTCCAGTATAATGAGGAACTTGCAGTAAGTAAGGTAGAAGCTATGGTGTTGGTACCCAGTAGGCCTATAGGGTCAGCCTCATGAACAATAAGACAACAACTTACCCATTAGTTTCATCATAAATTACCATGGATGGAAGATCGTCAAAAGACTGAGTACCTGCCACCAGACCAGTGTTTGCTGTAAACCATTGCAAACAACCTTAGGACTTTAATTATAGGAAAGTGCAATATAAAAAGGCATTATACTGAGGGGATGGCTCAGTATGTAAAAGCATTGGCTTTAGCAAATGTGAGGACCTGAGTTCAAATCCCCAACAACTACATACAAAGCCAAGCATGGCCATGGATGCCAGTAACCCCAGCACTATGGGTGGGGGGGGGGTTGGTGGCACACAGGATCACTGAAAAATGATAGAGCAAAACACCAAAAATCCTTCTGTGGTGTGTGTGTACACATGTTTTTGTGCACACTTGCACATACTTGTCATATATCACTAGGCCTAAATTTCAGATATCTGAATACTAGTCTCAGATCTAAGAGAGACTTTTCCCTCACTGACAATCATCTTCCATGCCATAACAACTCAACCTGGATTTTCTGGTGGCCAGATTAACTAATCCAGTCATTTCATAGCTGTTACATGCCAAGCAAATTATAAACATTGGAAATCTAGTAATTAATTTAATGTCTTTGTCATCTGGTAGGGGACATACTGATTGACCAAAACTCAAATCTGCATTTCCCAGTTCCCACATGAAAGTCAGAGGCTCTGGTCTCATGTAAGGGGTCTCAGAATATTCACTCCATAAACAGAAATTCTTTCAGAAAAAAAAACACCATTAAGTCAGACTTATTAAAGCTATCCATTAACTATAGCAATGGAATTTTCTCTATTTTGTGATACACTTGATCCATAAATATAAAACTATTGTCTGTACTAGATACTCTATAAGCGTTTTCAGAATAGTGAAGTGATGGAAATAACTACTAAAAACCTATAGCCAAACTAAAGAAAAGACTGTAATAATAATGGTGCTTCACTAAGATATATTATAGCAGATTAACTATGACTTAATAGTATTGTCTCTACCTCACTATCTCCGGCATCATATACACTGCTTGTTCATTGTTATAGTGGAGTAAATGCAACCTAATTTTGAGCATCCACTTGATAGATTGTAGAGTTTGAAGAATTATTGGGGAAGGTGAGGGGTATGTGGGAAATTCATACTGAATGCACTTACTAGGGATATATAATTGCATTTTGCTTCTGTATCTCTTCTGAGTTAAAAACTGTATTGGCTACTGCACAGAATCTTATTCGTTCAGAGACTGGCAACTCCCTGACAGATCATCTTATAGCTATTTTCTTTCCTGTTCCACATGCCAGGATGCTGCTTTGTCAAATAAAGCTATCTACAATAGACTTAATGGAGCTTACCAAATAGCTTTTCTCCCAGAAGGTTTCAATTCATTTTAATTCAAGGACTTTTGTGCATTTTTCTTCCCCTCGAACGTATCTAATTCTGTTATCTCACTTCTGTAGTACTTAACTGCAAAAATCCTGCTCGACGTGAGCCAGCAAGAGTCTCCTTGGTTTTGATCTAAATCAGCTACATGTTTTCGCTATCACTTGTTTCCAATTAAAAGCTTAAGCAAGGAGATCTCCAAGTTGTTTTTGCTCACTGTGCTTCCCAAACTCGGATTCCAGTGGCCTATAGTGCATCCCTGGTCATCTTTTCCTTCTCAAGGAAAGGAAAACTAGCTACATTGCCTTGGAGTGCCACAGAGTTTCTGTTCTTCCTGGGACTGTAGTAACCCATATTTGTGCTACAGTACTTGCAATGGAAGAAAGCAATCTATTAAACAGGGGGAAATCACATCAGAGGAAACTGGATATTGTGAAATACTTTCATTCTGTTGTTAATCATATACCCAGTAAACAGAAGAGCAAGAAAGGCTGTTCTTCTCTACATATCTCTTTTGCCTTGTATAGTTAGATTAATGGATACCAAGTTTTAGGTCCGCCTAAAAACCATCTAGGTGTCCTATAGGGTACAAGCTGTCAGTCATGTGATAGACATTCTAGAGATCCAGTGTGTACTACTGTCACTACAATAAATAATATATTTTGTATGTGAAATTAGCTGTGAGAGTAGACATTAAATGTTAGCAACCCCATGAAACTTTGTTCACTGGTGGATATGTTAATCATATTAGATAAATCATTATACAAAGCATACTTCTCCGGAGAAAGGCCATTGTAAACCTTGAGTATATATAATTCTTTATCAATCATACGTCAATAAAGCTGAAGAAAATTAAAATTAAAAAAACTTCATGAGATGCAGCAAGTCTGACCCAGGAGATCTTTAATGGTGTTTCAGATATTTCAATTGCTTAGAGGGTGTTGGATTCCATGGAATTGGAGCTACAGATGATTTTAAGTTGCCACGTGAGTGCTAGGAATTGAACCCAGGTTCTCTGCAGGAGCAGCCAGTGCTCTTAACTGCCGAGCCATCTCTCCTGCCCTATAGCAACAGTTCTTAGCCTGTGGGTTGCAACCCCTTTGGGGGTCAAATGACCCTTTCACAGGCGTTGTCTATCAGATATCCTGCTTGTCGACTATTTACATTGTGATTAGTAACAGTAGCAAAATTACAGTTATGAAGTAGCAATGAAATAATTTTATGGTTGGGGGGTCACCACAACATGAGGAACTGCATTAATACATCACAGTACTAGAAAGGTTGAAACACTGCCCTATAAAGTTGTGTTTTGAAACTGATTTGTTGTCTTAATTTTCTTAAGACTAGGAATATAAGGTGTAAGTGTCAGCAGAGGTGGTTCCTTCTGAAGACTGTGGGACATAATCTGTTTTAGCTCCCTCCCAGTTTCTGGCTTTTTGGCAGTGATCATTGGAATTCTTTGAAATAGAGATATATTACTCCAATTTCTGCCTTTATGCTCACATGAAGTATGTCTGTTATGACAAAGCATGAGGGGAATGTTGGCGAATTCCATGGCAGGAAGGAGTGACCAAGGTAGGGAACAATCATGCCAGACAGACAGAGCATAGTGAGGAGTTTTATTAGAAACGGAAACGGGGGTGGGGGGGAGAGAAAAGAGGTAAAGAGACACAAAGGCAGAGACAGAGAGATCAGAAAAGAAGAGGGAGACAGGAAAAGTCCTGTATGCCCCAGGGGAACAGCAGGAAAGAGAGGGAAAAAAGAAAGATGCAGGAAA